TGGAGGTAGGAGAAGGGATGTGTCGAGAGAGGAACGAAGGAGAGGTGAGGGAACAGTGCGCAGGTGGGCGAGGACAGCGAGGGGCTGTGCAGGGAGGGCAGGCGAGGTGTCATGTGGGGCCGGGGATGGAGAAGGCAGCGCAGCAGCAAGGAGGCAGGAAAGGGAAAGGAGGGAGAGCTCAAGGGCTGGCGCCTCGAGGCCTGCGTGAGGGGGCGGCAGGAGGGAAGGAGATGATGGAGGAATAGGAGTGAGTACGGCAGGGAGAGGGGAGGAGGGGGGGGGAGGAAAGCCCAGACGTGCTGTGGTGCATTGTTTTTCATGTGCTCTATGGCAATTGGACCTGTTCCTGCAGCGTGGGACTGCAGCTCCGTACGAGCCAGCGCATCTGTCTGACAGGCTGTCCTCAGGAGCCGTGCCTGAAATAGCCGCTGTCCTGGGCCCGGCCGTGTCCCGCGCCTGAGGACAAGGTTGAGCAGCCCTCTCTCTGCTTGCCTGTAGCTTTCCCAGCACTCACCCAAGCGGAGGTGAAATTGAAACGGTCTGTTTTGCCCTGCGGGGGTAAGTACCACCCCTCAGGGGCTGCTCGCATCCTTTCAGCCATTGGGCCAACATGCTCAGAGTGTGGAAATGGGTGAGAAGCAGAACCAAGTTGCCTAGGCTGCTGCTTGAAATAGTGAATTGCTTGGAAAGGGAAAAAAAAAAATCACTTAGAAGTGTTTCCTCTTTTAAAACCAATAAAATAGATCACCTTGGCTAGAAAAGATTGAAGTTGTCTGCAACCTATCTGCCGCTGAGTAGGCTCCGTCCCACTCAAAGCTGGGAACCTGGGTGCCGAGCATCCTGCTCCAATGCTCCCAGCTCATATTTTCTGTCACCTTAGCCCAGGTCCAGAAGGGAACAAACCTTTTAATAGTTCTGTTGATTGAGTTATGTGTTTTCATGGCCTATATGTGAAATGGTCTATTCTCTGCATATAGGATTTCAGCAGGGTGTTAGGGAAGTGAGTTTGGGCTTTCTGTTAGGAGGTGGCAAAGCACGTTTGTCACGCAGCCAGTATAAACCTGCCCTCAGGTACCACACATGGCTCATGCTCTGCTCTCCTGCCTTCTGTGGTGGAAGAAAGTTCACTGTGCCACCTCACTAGCACAGGGTCTCTTCCTAAACTCTTTATAATGGTGTGATTGAGCACGTAGCCTGGGATGTGTAACAGGATGCTCAGACTGCTATTTTTTTTCTTATTTTTTCCAGAAATATAAACCTGTATAATGCCTGAGAAATGGGACTGTGGAATAAGAACAAATTTCAGACAGGAATGCTAATAGCAAGAAAACACAATCACTCCTATCTTTGCAGCAGAGTTCCTCTCAGAAGTTGGACAAGTCAATTTAATAATAATGAAATCATTTGAATCTTAACCTGTGATCTGAACTGCCAAAGTGGTGGGCAGCTTCAGCAGTGGCTGGTGCCCACAGGAACTGAGCCCAGACAAGCTGAAGTGCTGCATAATGACAAATACCCTCAAAGAGGGAATCCCAAACTCCAAATTAGTGAGTTCTTGCGGTCTTAAGGTCTCTGTACCTCAACTCTTCCTCCTCACAAAGGTGGTAGCACCTTCACATCTACTGAAAGGACTGCTGGACAAACAAACCCATTGGTAGTCTTGATGTGCAGAAGAACGCAAAGGGGCAAAACAAAATGCTGAAAAGTTGTTTATGGGTTATGCTTTCCTGCATACTGAACAAGAGTAAAGGTCCTGGGGACTCATGGGTCTAGGATCAAAGTATCTGATTACAGAATTATGAAACTGAGGACTGCATTTCAGTGCTCATTAGCAGGTAAGGACAAATATTATCCTTGCATTTTCTGACCTGTGAGTACTTAGCTTTACAGTTTTAGCATCCTTTTCGTGTGCATAATTTGCCATGTGCCTTATTACTTTTATTAAAATTGTTCTAGAGAGGTTCATAGCTCTTCACCCTTGGCCATCTCCATAGAAGAATGGGTCCTAGATTACCATGAGTGCCATGTACACAATTAAGAAAGGACCCAAACCCATTATAACCTCACCTAACTGTGCCAATTCCCCCCCTACTTCAGGGGAGACATTTACAATAAAATACCTTGTCCATCTTTAGTAACATCTTTAAATTCTCTTATCTCATGGCTGGAATGAATATCACTGACATTTTAGGTATAGAAAAACACCACCACTGGCCCAGTGCTGTATCACGCCTCCGCAAGGAGAAGCAATGAAGGTAATATTCATGTTGCTGTTAAGGACTGAACTAAGTCTTCCCTTGGAATATTATTTTACTAGTAAATAATGCATGTTGCTTTTTAAAGTTGTTTTTAGTTTGGAAAATTTGAATTAGACATAGAAAAATTTAAATAGACAACTCAGGTATCTGTATGTTTGTACATTGTATTATGGACTCTCAGCCCAGGAAAATTCAGAGACTTACGGATTTTGTTTCATATGAGGAAAAAGGAAAAGCAGAAAGCTCAGAATTTTCTGGGAAGCAGTATATTTGAATAGATTTCCTTTTTATCAGCATGTTTTTGCTGTTAATATTGTACATATCAATGTTGTACATGTCAACATTGTACTAACAAAATATAGCACATTTCTAAAAACATTTCAGTTTCAATTATAATTTTCCCACAGAAAATCTGTCCAGGGCAAATTTTCTAGCCAACTCCATCTAAAAATGTTTGCAACAAAATGTTGTCTGCAAAAATGCACCCAAGAAAGAGAATTTTATTGTGCTGCTTCTCTGTCTAACTCCAATGATAACAAAGAAGTGAACCATTGTCCTAGACATATTGAAAAAAATTAAATTGTTTGTAGTTCTGCTATATACATTTAATTAATGCCAGTGCCAGAAATAACAATGCAAAGTCGAAAGTAAAAAGTTATTTATTTTTTTCCTGCTGTTTCACATTTTACAGAATTTGGCCTAAGCGTCATTTCTGCAAGTGCAGCTGAAAGAGTGAACAAAGCTTCTGCCCCCGCACTGGCTTCTCTAGACACAGGTGACCCATCACAGTATCATAAAACATGAAGGTAACACTCTTAGCTCTGTAAGACAAACTGTTTTCTATCTTCCTCCTTTTTATTTTATGCAAAGATTTGGTCAATGTAAATGACCTGCAAATATTTGTTTTATTTTAAGATGCACAATATTCTTTAGTCTGTTTTATTAATGTACTTCATGTGTTAGGGAAGACTAAGCTTGTAAGCTTTCATCCCACTTCTTCGGCAAGCTAAACTGCATGAAATTTATATAGAAATTTGACCAAAGGAATAATGTAATTCATTTATCAAATATCTCTATGAAAATCATGCTCAATCTCCTCTCTCCATTTCCAGTAAAGCAATATGCATGATAATGAAATTAAATGAGCAATTTTGGTTAAACATCATACATCAGTTCAGGTGTCCCATCCATACTAACCAAAAAGAGATTATGTTGGGCAAGAATAATTATTTTCACTTACATTTCTGGTAAATACTGACTTTACTATCAAAAAATAAACCTACCATGTGTCACCATTTCATAAGGTGGATATTGTTGTTATAGATGTGCTCCTACTTCCCTGTACCAAAACCAAGCTTTTCTCTGTCTTTCTCTCTTCCTCTCCCTCTCTTCCTCTCCCAACACAGGTTTGCAGATATTGCTGGCCTGCCCATTTCAGAAAACATTTCTAGTTCGCCATCATTCACTGCTAATAAAGACAAGAAAAGAACAGTGTGAAGTTTATCCTTTCATTCTGTAGTTTCTTACCTTGGAATATACCTATCTGTAGAAATAACATCAGAATAACAAATCATTTATTAGCAGACATAGAATCATCTGGTTGGAAAAGATGTTTAAAATCATCGAGTCCAACCATAACCTGCCCACTACTAAATAATTTCTCTACGTGATAATGTAGATATATATTTAAGATTAGGAATTGAAGGGCACTCTCCAGCTGCACATCAGACAGCTACAGCCAGCAATGGCCATTAACCAGAATGGCCACTAGAGGCCTTCGTTTGCTAGGATCTGCCAGGATTGATGAAGGCGAAACCCGCTGCCCACCCAGAGCTAGTTCCCCTAAATCTCTGGGGAATCTGCTCACTGCCCCAGCAAAGCACAGTTCCCCACATAAGAAAAAAAAAAGTCTCACTGGAGCTCCAAATGGGCGTGCCAAGCTGATTCTCCCGCCAATCATCCTCAGAAAAAAGGGGAAATAATAAATAATCCAGTTGTTTGATTTGTTACAGGTGAAATGTGACATTCCAGGAGTGATGCTCCCCACGGCCACCGGCACGCCAACCTTCTCCCCTCGGGCTGCCCTCCCACCGACCCCAACTTCCTACAAACACCTTGGCAGGACAACAGTGCGGTTCCACTCAAAAACCGTGAAAATGAGAGGAAGTCTGGTTAACAACGGCGAAGGTGTTTTATTTCCAGCCCTGTGGCTGCTCAAGATTAGACGGATTTGCGTTATTCTTTCTCTACTGCAGTTTGGACACAAAGTCGGTGTAACTGTGCCCAGGGTTTTATTTGCTGCCGCCCTCCCATCCGTCAGGCTGGTATTCTCCCGCTGGCCGCCTGCTCTAAATATGGCCATGGCCAGTGTGTCAATAATCCCCCTCTTTAAGGAACCTGCAAACACTAGTGTTGGGACATTCTTGCTGTTCAGATGTCTAGCTGACGTCTGATGCTTAAAATGGAGCATGCTTTCATCCCTTCCTGCATTGTCGTAAGCCCCCGATGATTACTCTTAAAAGGGTGCCTCCGCAATGCAGGGAAACAGTTGCTGACCAAACGAGGCACAGCTTGCTTGCTTCAGCCTTCTTGAATGCCTAAGCACTTCAGGTTTGGACGAGCCTGACCAAGTGGGACCATGTCTACCTTTGGCTACAGAAGAGAGCTCAGTAAATACGAAGACATTGATGAAGACGAGCTCCTCGCTTCTCTCACTGAAGAGGAGCTGAAGGAGCTGGAGCGGGAGCTGGAGGACATCGAGCCTGACCGTAACCTCCCGGTGGGACAGCGGCAGAAGAGCCTGACAGAGAAAACACCGACGGGGACTTTCAGCCGGGAAGCACTGATGGCCTATTGGGAGAGGGAGACCAGGAAACTCTTAGAAAAAGAGAGATTGGGTGCATGCGAAAAGGTAAGATGCTGAAGCATTCGCTGTTTCCTAGAAATATTTGGCATGTTCTTCCCTGGCATCATCTTGCTCACTGTTTTCATTTTCTTTCAGTCTTTTGAAGAGTTTTTAAGAACACTGTTAGCCATACCTCTGTGTCTACTAAAGCACTGTGTGCTAGCTAAGGGAGGCTTTGCACTGTCTCTCTGGAGGTACCTTAAAAGCTTAGCTAAGACCAGAATAAATTCCCATTAGTGTTTATAATTAGTGTTTAAAACAGGAATAAATTTTAAAAGGCACGTTGGAAATTATTGTGAGGTAGCGATGTGGACTTTGTGATAACTTTTGATTTTGTTTAAAAGCTAAAAAAAATGACTTTTCCTTTCCTTTAAAAAAATAATCAGTACTGACTGCTGAGAAGCACATTAGGAAGGTAATTTTGAATACAAGTTATGTCAGAAGCAGAGTGAGCAGCTGCTAGGCTTTGTGCTCCTGGAAGGAAGCTGCGTTGCAGTCAGCAGCTTCTGTTGCTTTGATCCTGGCACGGCTCCGGAGGCTTCTGGCAACTGTTGTCGGAGGGCGGCTGTAAGTTATTTAAAAAGTGGCCTGGGGTAGAGCGATCAGCCAAACCATTTATCTGTACTCCAAAAAAACCAATTGGGCAATTTGGGCAGGACTGAAGGGCTCAGTCCTAGCAGGCGCAGAGTGCCCTCTGTCTAAGCTGACATCCCTGTCCGCATCCCCCCAGGCCCTTGGTAAAACATTTGTGAAACTGAGCTCTATCAAAAAGCAACTTCTGTTTTCACACTGGCTCCATGTAATTTCAAAGCAAAGTGGAGACCTGGGGATGTGAGTAGCTTTTGGCTTTTTAAGCACTGCTTCATACCAAGCTGTGACCCTCCTTAAAAAGACAAGTTTGCCCATGTTCAAGTAGAAAATAATGCAAAAAAGGTAAAGGTATCAAAACTGGACTCAGAACTTCTAACGGCCTTGGTTCAGGAGCTCTGTTCATTTGCAAGGCAGGAACTGCAGTTTGTACATTAGATAAAACACTCCCTTTAAGAAAAATCACCTGGATTAAATTAGCCTGCAATAATAATATCCAGGATTTCTTTACACTTAAGTGTTCTCTCCTGCTCATGGATGGTGGTGTAATGTCTTTGTAGGCAAGTGCACAGACCACTAGCTGTCATCAGACCATTAGTATCAGCTTGCAGATGTTGACTTCACTCCCTGTTTGCCAAGTCCTAGGGAGGCAATGGCAAGATTAATGTTTATTTCCAGCTGAGCCTGGAACTCAAAACCTGGACAGTTTCAAAAAAACCCTCTGAACAGGTCTCATTTGGTGTCTTATATAATGGCAGGATTTTTTTCTTTTTCCATGTCTCTACAGCATTAACAGTGGGTACTGGCTAAAACTCAAAGTGCTTGCAAAAGCCTCTGTACTTCCTGATCTGAGACGCAACATCCTAAATGCATCCATAAGTATGAAAATGCTGACACACTGACGTAGAGGGCACAAATGCTCTCCCTACCAAGCGCAGTAAGAATGCTCCTTCTGAGCTTCTTGAAAGCCATTTTCTTCTTATCCTCAACTGTCTGAAAGCCAGACACCTTGTCTAAGATGGTTATTTGTGCTCCTTCTATAGTTAGTGTTCAGAGATCAGCCCCTCCAGAAGGCGAACATCCTTCCGGTAGCCTTTTAGGGTGAATGACTGGCCCTCCAGAGATATTTACCTCTCTGCATTGACTAAGTAAGTACTAACATTTCATTAAGTATGAAGCAAGATGAAGCCCTGCAGGCTGCCAGCAGCAGTCCTGTATGGAAATGCCACAATAACAGAGTATGCCTTTACGGATCTGGAAGGGCAAGAGTACTCAATGTCAAAATTATTGTGCAGGTTATTGTAACACCAAACAGCGCATGTGACAGGAAACTATAAATTCCCCCTCTGACCATGTAACTAAAAAAAAAAAAGAAAAAGTTTTTGTTGTTTTTTTTTAATTAATCTAGTGTCATCAAGCATATTAGCAGTCCATTTAGAGGCACCAACTTCTGCTCATCTGCAGCTGTGTTGAATGCTGTAGCGTATATCCCTGGACAGATAAAAGCATAGCCATGAAGGCAGGTTCCTGGATACCTGATGTTTTCAGCTTTTAGAAGTCTGCATGTATGTATATAAGCTACAGATATAAATCTTAGTCCCGTAACAAACTAGGCTTAAACACAGCCCTGTTTCTATGTGTAGCACAGCATCTCTGAGTGTGAGGGCCTTCCCCCATATGATCCACAGGAGAAGCAACAGGGCTGGACCCTGCAAGGCCCCCAGGCACCGAATGACCAGGCTGGAGCAGCGTCATGTCCTGTTTCACTGGAGTCCCGCTTCTGCAAACATTACAATTTCTGTCTGTTTTGCATGTGTCCCAACACAGAAAATCTCCTTAAGATTGTGAAACGTGACCTGTCATTACTATTATTTTAAACTTTCCCTGCATTTTTAGAGCCAGATAATTAAGCAAACCTAAAAGTGCACAGGTATAGGCTCTCATGTTAGAGACACTTTCATTTTCCAGAAGCATTCTCCAGAGTGAGACTCCCCTGAGGGGCAGAACTTTTGCTGTTCCTGCAGAGAATGGTCCTCTGTCACTGTCACTGCTGGGGGCGCCAGGCAGACTTTTGAGAAGTAAATCCAAATTTGCCATTTTGGTGCTCACCAAACACACTAAAATAAGCTTGGAGTTTAGAAAACCAGTCAGTTTGCTCTGTAGACAATGAGTTGTAATGAGTTACAGTATGGCAGCTGACCTGTGACAGCTGTTGGTGGGCACAGTCCGCTCTTGTCAAACTTTTGGGGATTATTGACATGTGATGACTTGTTACCTGTGGGAATGTGTCTGACACTTTTCTTCACAAATAGCTTCCACACAGTGCATCCAGAGCCTTTTTGACATGGCTGTTGTAATTTTCTATTATTTTCCATGTTGATTTGCATGTTTACATGTGCAAACACTATTTGTATTCTAAATCATGGCAGTCTTTAGCCTTTTCAGATGCACTGACATACACAAGGGAGTCTGACATCGACACAGGTGTCTAATCCTTATGAAATCAAGAAACTTGTTGCTCATAGATCATGTCCATTCTGAAACTGTGGTCTTATGCTTCTGCTGGCAAGGATCCAGATAACATCCCCTTGTGGACATGCCAACACGTAGAAAGCATGAAGTGTGTCCATGTTGCAATATCTTGTATCAGATTTTCTCTTGGGCAATGGCAGTAAATCACTGCCAGTAAAACTGTTTCCATTTATGCTAAGCCTTTGTCTTCTAAAGAATATGAAAGAAATACTGTTAAAAAGGTGTTAGGTGCTGAAACATTTTTTGTTCTCCTGAGTGTCTTTGTTTCTGCAGATTTATTTTTAGCTTTATATATTAAACTATATTAACATATAGTTTCAAGATAATTGGTTTTGTGCTGAAAGGCAGATGCCGCATTACTGTAATCATGTTTAACACCCACACTTGCATTCATGTTCAGGACTCTGAGCAAGAAGAAGACAATTCAGAAGATATTCAAGAAGAATATTTCACAGAAAGCAATAGTGAAGTGTCTGAGGAGGCATATACTGAAGAGGACGATGAAGAAGAAGAAGAAGAGGAGGAGGAAGATGATGAAGATGACAGTAATGATGAGGATGAGGAAATACAAAATCCTGCAGCTGGTGAAAGACCTGAGGATGGCCGGAGTTCTGACCACATCAGACGCAAAAAGTGTAATGGCGCAAAGGACAACAAAAATTTACTCAACGGCCATGATGGAAAAGACACCGACAATCTGAGCTCGAAAAGCAGTGCCATCCACCCTTGTGGAAATCCAACAGTTATTGAGGATGCTTTGGAAAAAGTTAGGAGCAATGACACCAACACCACAGAGGTCAACCTGAACAACATTGAAAACATCACTTCACAGATGCTCATACAATTTTCTCAAGCCCTGAGGGACAACACAGTGGTCAAGTCATTCAGTTTGGCTAACACACATGCTGACGACAGCGTTGCAATAGCTATTGCTGGTATGTTAAAGGTAAATCAGCATATCACTAGTCTGAATATTGAGTCAAATTTTATCACAGGCAAAGGAGTGCTGGCCATCATGAGGGCTTTGCAGAATAACAAGGTCCTGACAGAACTGCGGTTCCACAACCAAAGGCACATCATGGGCAGCCAGGTGGAGATGGACATAGTTAAACTGTTGAAAGAGAACACCACTCTGGTCAAGCTTGGGTACCACTTTGACCTTGCTGGTCCAAGAATGAGCATGACAAGTATCCTGACAAGAAATATGGATAAACAAAGGCAAAAGCGCATACAGGAGCAGCGGCAACAAGAGTCTGGCTGTGATGGAGCCATCAATCCAAAGACCAAAGTCTTGCAGAAAGGGACACCTCGGTCCTCACCTTACGTGTCACCTAAGAGCTCACCCTGGTCCTCTCCCAAGCTCCCTAAGAAAGCACCTCCAGTGAAATGTCAGCCTCCAGCTCCTGCAGCCCCACCTCCCCCCCC